TTTTTTTTTTTTTTTGCAAGATCTGAATATTAAAGAATTATTGTCTTCTTGTAAATGTTTTGAGGCCAATGTGAATTTTAATCTTAGCTGAATACAATAACCAAAGAAATAAACAAACAAACAAAAAGCTCTCAAATCCAAAGCACAATAGATTCCAATCAGCATTTTAAACTCAGAAGGTCAGAGCTGTGACTCAAAACCTGCAGTCATATTGGGTTTTCATTTGGGTCAGATAATCCTGTGCAGATTAAACCACCAGTGACATCTGACATTTGATGTGTGACAGGACACAGATGAAACCACAGACAGAGATCCTAATCTATATTGCAGAAGCAGTGGGTGATACAATTTTAAATAAGCCTCATCTTAGAAACTGTTACATCTGTGTGGCTGAAGACAAAAGTCTCAACTGTGCCAGTCCAAACCAAACTTACACTTGCAAAAAAGACATTCATCATTTTCCAATTGAAATGTCAATCAAAGTTAGCTGAGTATCCACTGGGGATTACGCACAATTTCTTCTCCTCTGAGACAGTTACTGGCAGCTGCAGTGATCGCATACTGTAGCTCCTGCCAGATGATGGAATGGCTTTGTGGGCTCTCGCCTTGGGTATCCCTTTCTGTACTCTGTCAAACAGAAGCCTCCAGTCACTGCTTAGTGGTAGAAGATGCATTACATTGCATTGACATTCGAAATAGTCCCCAAGGTGCTCCACTGTGCCTTTGACTGACAGACCAGCTAAGAAAGCTGTGTTGTCCCATAATTCATAAACCACACTCTTCTCTTTGTGGTCTCCTATGTCCCTGGATGCACTGAGTAGTGTCACTGCCTTTATCTTGCCTTTTTTTTTTTTTTGCTTTACTTCGTAATGTATCAAAATTGGAGCACCGTTCTTTTTTGTGTGTGTCATTTCGAAAACACAAGAAGATGAGGAAAATACTGATACAAACATAGTGTTTTGTGTCTTTACACAAAACATGTTGGTATCAACAAATAATATTGTGAAAATTCTAAAATCCAATTCCATTTTTTTTTTCTGTTGGGATCATACATGCGTTCTTGTTTGTATTTATTTACACTTTTAAGTGTCAAAATTCAGTTGTCATAAGTACTTCTTCTATGCACAAGTGTTTTGCCTTTTGTATTGAGCATAATGCTACTACTGACAGTCATGTCAGTCAGATTCCTGCTGAAGCTGCCAAGGCCATCTCCCAAGAGACTGCAAAAAAGTTTTGTTCTTGATTGTCCCATCCAGTTCCTTCTGTACCTGTTAAGACTGAGGAAAGTATTACATCAGCTTTACTGTAAAAAAAAAAAAAAAGAAAAATCTTAGTGTCTTCTCTGAGCTGGACTCGCGTTTGTTATTGCTGGACTACCAATGCGGCTTGTGGGATTTCTTTCACTGTTCTTTTAAAAATCCTATCTTATAAATATCGACACACATCTGAATTAAACATCATCGTCCGCATTGTCATTGAGGAGAATCTCAGAACAATTGGTCTTTGTCATGTCATAATGGCATCCTAGGATAAAAAAGAAAATTGTAAATTATCATGTCTTGTATAACGTAAACTAACAAAGGATATAAGGACAATTGACTATTAATAATTACTCATGCATAGGTTTTGCAAGGGGTAGAACTAGATCTTATTTCTAAACATGGGTTGTGCTTCTGCTTCCATTAATTTTTCAAAAATAATTTGAGAAATGTCCTGTCAAATTATTGCAAAAATATTATTTAAACGCTCCACACCAAAGGACTGCAAGAATGACTGACATTCAACAGCTTAAAGACCTTACTGTTTGCGGAGGGCAAGTGGTAGACATATGGCAAACACACGGATCGTATATTTACACACTTTGAAGCACTGGATGGAATTTAATAAAAATCTGCAAGACCTTCGGGCACTTAATAAACACAACCGTGGGCTTATTAGCAAACAACAAACCTCCTGGTGTTTAAACAATGTCAAGACAGGGAAGGGGTGAGAGGTTAAAATTGTATTTTAGATTTTGTTATTTTCCGCATTTTTACTTTATTTATTTATGCAATTATTTAATTATTTATGACCAGAATAATTGAATAATTAAAACAAAACACTTGTTTTTATACTATTTTCATAAGAAAGAGACATGCCTTTTAGTTTTGTACTAGTCACAAATCCAGTCTTGTTCAACATAATCTGTTCCAAAAGAGCTCGTTCGCTTTCAAAGACGGTTTGTGTTGTCTCATGTTGGATTCAATAATACCAAGATGGTTGATTTGTTATACGGAAAAGAAATCCAATAGCCAACTACCAAAGATAAATAGAAAATCTCCCGCAGGCAGAACATTACACACTCCCAGGCTGCCTTAAAATGTACAAAACATCCATGCTGATGTGCTTAGCTGTGCTACCCCTCAACCCTCTAATGAACGAGGCCAAAAGAGCTCTTGGGCTTAGCCTCTCCCTCTTACCCTAACTTAACAAGATGTCCCCATACTCCCTGGCTTTTTCTCTCACAAACACGCGCACGCACGCATGCATGAATACTGGCACAAAAGCACGGCCATGCACAGACACACACACCCCCCAAACCCCAAACCACTAACCCTCAGACCAATCTGTCTGTGGCACTGTAGTATTATTAGACTTATACACTCTCAAAGGGGAAACACTGAGGGCTGAGAGCTGGAAGATGAGATATGCTACAGGGGCTAGTAGTTCCATTAAAATGGCATTCACCGGAGCCTTTGTTATCATCGGCCTTGACGTTTTCAGGATGTAGTGAGGTTTGCTGATCCATGACCATCTCATCTATCTTTCAGGCTTCCAAGGAAGTTTGTGTGAAATTGACACCAATGAGTGTGGTTCAAACCCATGCCAAAACCATGGGAAATGTGTGGACCAGGTCAATGGTTTCAGGTAAAAAATATTAATAATCTTTTTTTTTTTTTTTTTTTTTTTCCTTGTCTCAGGAACTTCAAGATACTCACACGTTGTATACATTTTACTTCAGGTTTGCTTAAAGCTGCAGTATGTAACTTTAACAAAAATATATTTCTTTACATTTTTTTTAAAACTGTCACTATGTTGTGACAGTATGATATATAACAGGTAATCTGTGAAAAAATGTAGCTCCTCTGCCTTCTCCCAGTGCTCCCAGTGCTAAGTAGAAACAACAAATGAGACCCAGGAAGAGGGTCTTAGTGCTTGTCAATCACAATCTTGTATGCTGCTTCTCGTTCCTCCTCTCTCTCTTGCTCTCTCATACTGCTGCAGCTTTCCCCTGATTCTGTTGTAAATGCTAGACTAGTTAGCATGATGATGGTGGATGAATGAGTTCCCTGTAACAGTTAGATATTTCTGCACTATTGGCACATTCAGCAGCAAATGCATGACGCAGAATGACAGCGATAAGACCCTCCTCCTGACACTGATTGGTTGTTTTTTTGGTCGGGAGTGGTGCATTTCTTCAGATGTCAATAATGGCTATGGGGAAGAGGTGGAGGAGATCGATTACCTGTCTCATAACATGCCGTCTCATCACAATGAGAGTTTTAACAAATACGTAAAACTTAGTTTTTATAAATATGTAAAAAAAAATAATAATAATTGATAACAATTTAATTATTATCAATTTCAATATTAATTTTACTGTTGGTTATTTTCTTTCATTTATTGTTTTGTACATTAAGTCCAGAAGCGTTTATTATTGGAAAATCCATCACAAACGTCTACAAGGGCTTGAAGCCTGCTAAGTTTAGTTCATACGCAACTTTTGTGAGTTATGTGTTGAATTTTGATTTGTAGACTAAGAACTCTGTAAATTTACATTGAAAAAAAAAAAGCATGGATTTTTTTCATTGAAAAATGTGCAGGAACTCTGGGGCGAGAAAGAGTTCAGGGTTTTAATAATAACCTGAAATGGCCTTTTTTAAATGTGTTTAAGGGATTAAAATGTCATTTTAATCCTTTGAACACGTTCACAGATTACAGTGAGCTAATATTTGCTCTCATCCTGAAATCAGGTCAAAATTGTTGAAGTCCCAAATATGTCTTCCATCATTATTCTTGTCTTCTTTCTAGACAGTCAGGCTTCAGGTTTAGTTAAACACTTAGTATTCATGTTTGTTTTTAGGTGTGTTAAAGGCAATTAGACTAAATTTGATAGGTAATTAATCTCAGTGAATCCTACTCTTGTTTATTTTTTGCCATCTGCTTGTGTACGCAGGAAACATAAACTTCCTTTTTTTTTTTTTTTGGTCTGAGACAAAATGTCAATATCAAAAGATTTTTTTTCTCTTCCAGGTGTGATTGTCAGATGGGATTTTCTGGCCTTCTCTGTGAGGAAGACATCAATGAATGTGCCTCCAACCCTTGCAGCAATGCAGGCATCTGTCAGGACCTTGTAAATAAGTTAGTATGAATATAATATCCGTTTTTGTTTATTTCCGTTTATTCCGTTTTGCTTAGGCTTTGCACCTCAGCTGTTTTTCATGATGTTGTTTAAAAAAACAAACAAACATTGCGTGTATCAGTAAGAAGCAGGCAATATTAATTTCATGAGTTTGCTTTGAAATCAAACAAACTAAATCATTTTCCAAAGCAAACATTTGTGGCCATGGCGTTTCTCTTCAAAGCCTTTTGCTTTATATAACAAGCCTGCATTCATCCTTGACACACATAAGCTTCCCTTCTATAGACAGAGTGAATTCAGCAGGAACACATCATGTATCTAGATTGGTCTGTACTCCACCGGTGCTTCTTTCTGCTGTGCTTAATGGGAGCCCTGAGGCTTCAAGACTTAGTCGGACAGATGGGAAGAGAAGTCCCAGGGCCAATTTGAGTCCTAAACGGTTGGTCTTCAGATCGTATCCCTGTCATGACTTTGTTCCCATGCGACCCGTCCTGGCTCAGAGCACTCTCCTGGTTGCACAGTCCAGGGAGTTCACGTTGGGTGTGTTTCAGAGCTGCCTAATCCACACCCTCATCTCCATCTTCCCTTCCCTGAGCCAAGAAGGCCAATTTTTGCCATGATGATGAGTCACTCTTTGTAGCATTATCTGCAAACCCCGGTCTCATGTGTACACGTCCTTAAGATAGTTTGATCCTGGCTACACGGGCCAAAAGTGCAGGCTGTGAAAGCAGTGATCGAACTAGTGCAGCCTTAAAAATGTCTCTAATGGGAAGCTCTGAGGAGACGAAAACATAGTTTAGCATACTGCAAAAATTAGATGAGATACCCCTGGTTTCATTTAATAAAAACATGTTAAGATTTTAGCATGGGGGTGTCTAATTGTGTTCTTTCTTATTACTCTAAACACACAATAACTATCTCCTTGGAGATGTGTGTTTATGTGAAAGCAGTTTCACAGAGGAATCTGATTGAATAAGCTATGTCAGCATCATTTTAATTAAACTGCACACAGGGAACATTCCTGTCCCATTGTTACAGTTTTTGCAGATTTGCTTGACAACAGAGGAAAGCTGCATTATCTTTTGTTTTAGAGTGTTTCAAATGGAAACAAATGCTATTTTGCACATATTGTTTTGCTACTATCATATTTTGTGATAGATCAGCTTGAAGTAGCACCTCATTGTGATATGATAGGAAAAATACTCTTTTCTGAAAGGTTTGCTGAGCTTCCGTATGCTGCCCACAGTATTTGTTAGCAGTTAGAGCTTTTTGATCTCTTACATCTTTTTGCATCTAAGACATTCATTTTCAGGCTTTGACACAGATCTGAATTTTGACTGGCCGATTTAAGGCCCATTTAAGTAAAGTCCCAGTTTTTGATAAAGGCCAGACTTGCAGAGTATATTAGTGCATATTGCGTTATTTACATAATTGTCCTTAAACTTTACAATTATTTAAAACTTTGTTTTAGTTTATGACATGATTGCACATGGTTGTAATTTTTTAAATATAAAAAAAAGTTTAGTGGGTGTACATGCAAAATGTATGTACAGTGCATGTACACCCACTAAACATGTACTGTGACCTTTTGCATGGCACTTTACATGCAATCCTGTAACGGCTTTATATGACTTTTGAGGCTTCTGGTCTCTGGAGGATTCTACCTTATTCCTATCATTTAGTGTTATCACTTTCTCCTCAGGTTCCACTGCGTTTGCCCTTCTGGTTATTTTGGAGTGTTGTGTGACCTGGATGTGAACGAGTGTGAAGTCTCACCTTGCCTACATGAGGGCATCTGTATCAACACACCCGGAGGCTTCAAGTGCATCTGCCGGCCTGGATACACAGGTACTCGCTTTGCCCTCAGGTGACATGAAGATCAATATGAGGGCCCAAAATGCTTATCATGATGGCTAGGGCAGCTGCATGGTATTGACACAGCTCTGACACAGATCTGGCTTAGTGTTTCAAAATAATAAGATTCATAATATCTGCTTTTAATTAACCTGCTGCTGCTTCAAGATAGTTTTTTTTTCTTTTTAAACTAACCACATAAATTCTCATCAGCTATCTGATTTAATTTAGGCTTTTAGTTAGCTTTATTTCAGTTTATTAATCTATTTAGTTTCGATGGCTATCCCTAGCTCCTTCTGATTCATTAGTTTCATATTCTGCTCCAGTAGATATTGAGTTATTTTAGATCAAGTATATTTTGTACGTGTGTGTTGGTGCACCGTCCAAAGCTGATTCCTGTCAGGTACGGCGAAGATTAATTTCATTTTTCTTCCACACTGTATCATCAATTTATCCTTTCCCAGTTCAGAAAAGGTGGGAAATCTCAGAGGTATTGCCACTCTAGAGAGCAGAACCTGACACGCATGGCCCAATTCCCACAGAAGCTGCTTTTATTATTAGGCCTACACACACCATAGTACAAGTCATTACTTTTTCTGTTGCTCTAAGCTCATCTGAGGAAACGGGGTCCCCCAAGAGAGCGAGCAGCTGGGGGATACAGGTTCAGATTGGCTCAAGCCAACCAGAACTCGTACAAAATATTTACCCGTCTAACGTGCAGCAGCACTGCAACTTTGAATTTCTTGTTTTATTTGGTTGTAGCTGCATGTTGCTATGATATTAAGATTAATTTCAGCTTTGCACGATGACTCATGCAGAAGTATTTTAATTGAAACTGATGAAACGTCTCTCTGCTTTGGTGGGATAATACACCGTGGTGGCTTAAAACGCTGTAACTCATTGTGTCACTTCACAGTATTGCCAGTTATTGAGCTCAGCCATCAGGGAATTTGAGGGAGAACTTTTTTTTTTTTGCATATCAACTGCCACAAATAATTTCAACTGTAGCAGCTGAAGCTGCTTCCTAATAAATCGGTCTGGTGCTGTGTCTGTTTACTTGTGATGCGATTAAGCTAAGATGACACTTTATTTTCACCTGCTTCACCGCCTGCTTTGAGGTTTTATGCAGCCCTCTCTTTTTGCTGCTGTTTTATCACACTTGATTTTAGGTTGTCTTTGGAAAAGGACACTTCAATACCTAAAGGGCTTTT